CTATGCCTAACTGAGACAGGTGAGAAGGAACAGGATTTGGAAAGTGAGGTCTGATAGCATATAGGAGATAAACATATAAACAAAATTCCTCTGCTGGTATTAGTGGAAAATAGTGACAAAGGATTGGTGGGTGTAGAATAAAAAAATTACCAAATATATATTTCTCTTTCCAGAACATTAAAGAAACAGATAATACATTTGCTTCTGCAAAGAGCAGTTCTCATTTTGAAAAAAAAACAAACTGTAGCAAACAATTGTAGCAAAACAATTAGAACTTTTAAGACAAAAAGACTGAGTACTATGGTAATTGTTTTATTATGAGAAACTTATATATTGTGTGTGTGAGAATTTGCAATCAATATTCATATATTGATAGGACAAGAATTCTTAAGAGGTCAATTTATTGGAGGGGAAAAAAAAGAGAGACTCAAAGGAGGCAAGTGAAGAAAAAACTGACTTCAAAATGGAAACTAAGCAGTATTCTGTATTAGTGAAATTGATTAATAACTAAAGCAAAATACCAAGAGAAATGAGGGATATTTTGACTCTCTGCATGTCTGGATCAGGTATATGAATCTCTGTAAGGACACACTTCAGACAAACAAAACATTAGATCTGTATTCAGGCAGAACAGAATGCAATTTAGGGTCTTGTGAAATGTAGAAGATAGAACAGAGCTACAAAAAATGGTTCCATCATGCTTAAATCTATGAATCCCTGCAATACCTGTTCTGAAAAATAGAACCTGAAAATAAAACCAGGTTTTAAACTGCTATTTGTATATGTGTACACAAATGTGATTACACCAAAGAGTCCTTCCAACACAGCGGAGCTGTCTCAGGTATTATTAGAGGATCATGACACTAGAGGAGACTCTTGTGTCTTCAATGAGATTTAGACCAGGTCATTAATCCCCAGAATGTTTTTACCAGTCACCACAGGGGTTATTCAGCTATCTACCAGACCAGCTATCTCATTCTCAATGGCTTTAACTGCAGGCTTGAAGGAAAATAGAATTCACAGCAAAAAGAGAATTTGCAGTCTCTAGAGAATCAGAACAACACAGCTCTCACATTGAGAAGTATTTTAGATGCTACTGCTATTATCAACATCAGAGGAATTAAACAGGATCTGATAATAGAGAGCAGAAGACATTTGTCACCAGTACTTGTAAGAGACATTTATATAGGTAATATAAACTAAAACTTTCCATTACAACTTCACAAATATAGCAAAAAGGACCCATGTGCCAGGACACAGTTGTTAAATATACAAATAAATGAAATTTCAGCTACAGAATTAGTTTATTGGTAAAAGGCACAGCTAAAGTTAAAGCATTTTTTAAAAAAATATTTCATTTCTCTCACCTAAGACAATGTTAAAATGAAGGCATGTTTTCAGAAGTTTTATTTTTAGTGCACATTGAAAAAGGCTGTGATAAGAGGAGGTCAAACTATCCTTGAGACTATCATCCACAACTCAAAATTTTAGCTATATGAGACAGAACAATACTTCCCTGTTCAGTATTGGTATTTACTGAACAGATCTGAATGACAAAGAATTTTCAGAGTGTTTTCCATTCACTTCCATCTAGACTACCATCTTGATGATGAACCATTATCATCAAAGTATATTGAGTTATCTTGGTAACTGGACTTCAAATTTCTGAAACTGGAAACTTTAAAACAAAGAAGTCCCTAGCACCCTTAATTCATATTTCACATTGTATAACTTTATTTTTCCTACTAGCATCACATTTCCCAAAATTCAGTATAGCTTTACCTTCACTTCTTTTCTCTTTATAATACAGACACATGCATTATATGCATCTATAACAATCCTGTGAATTATGAAAACCTAGCAATCTGATAGCACTTTTAGACAGACAGGTGAGGTAAAGGTTTGCTTATTATTTAACAATCTACTTATCCATAATTACACTGATTTTTATTTAGTCTGAGGTACCAGAAAATATAGTATTTTCTCTTAGAAGCTGTTTAAATTACCAATTTGCAGAGAAATCAACTAGCCATGCACTAAACTGAATTTTCCATAAATGTATTGAAAGAGAGACTCCACAGGGGAAAAAAAAAATAGGTTTTGGTGTGAAGTAACATTAAACCCCAAAAGTTTTCCCATGCACACAAACAAAAGGTCAGATAAGTAAAAAAGTGAGAATTTACTTTGACTGTTAAACTTTCTAGGAAATAAAATACATGCACTGGTAATGGAATAATGTTCTGCATTTCCTATGTGGCTTTTGAAATTACTATCATGCTAAAGGCAATACTTTATATTTTAGATCTCAACTGTAAAGTTCTCACTAAATTCTCAATAGAAAATCAACTCAATGTTCAGCAATGCTTATATTTTACTTTGATTCTTACTTTATGTGACATCAGAAAGGAAAGAAGCCCAGACTAACTGAAAAGCTAGTGAGAATTTGATCTTATTTTATTCTAAATCCTATCCTAAGATTTCTAAAAGGGAGCCCTCTAATAGGAACCAACAACAAAAAAAAAAAGAAGTATGTCTGTTTTATTCTCTTAAAGGAGTATAACAGCAAAATAATTTATAAAAATGTCATCAACGACAGAAATATTTTATATCAGATCATATGGAATCACATTTACATTCACCAGAGACTATCTTTAGAATGTAACTTGTGACTTCATCAACAGGCTTGAAATAAAAGTAGCTGTAGCACTGCGCTTAATATGTGTGGGTGGGGTAAAAAATAGCCCACAATCCTATCCAAGTGTTTTTACCTATGTAATTTTATTCCCTAATAATCCCTAATTTAGTGTATGAACAGGAGTTTCGAGGAAAATATAATAACAAACAGAAAAGAGTTAATAATGAGCCCTTCCACATCTAATATCAGTTCTCCAATGCTAGCAACTCCTCCCTGTAAAGGAATTTTTTAAAACAGCAGCAGTTTATTAAACTGCATCTATAAAAATGTGTACCTGTTAAGGTAACTTGTTCATACAGCTGTGACAATGATGTTTAGAGTCAGCTCTTTCTTCATTACTATGTACCTTAGTCTTCTTGCATGTACTGAAATGGGATTCTGAGCAAATTGCAGTTTAACATGTAAGTATCTGCTACACCTAAATTTGAATGTTATAATTATTCACCTCTGGGATTTATGAGTATTTACACATGGATCAATTCCTGGGACACCATTTACAAATGCCGAGGAACATAATGGTAAAATGCTTCCCTTCAGCATACAGCACAGAACTTGCAGAGTAAATTACTTTTATAGGAAGGAAGATGACTATATCTTTTGGATGAATTGTCTTAGAAATAATTTGGTTTATATTCTGTCTTCCTTCTTTTACATCTTTCATGACACCAATGGTCATTCTAACAACTTACTGCTAGTAGATATTAAAGCATTTGTTACAAGCAGTGTTCACTGTATGGCATGTGTTTTTACAAGGTAGGAGGTAAGGTAGCAGATCTAAAATGATTACATCACATTACAAGTCCTGGAAAAAGTGTTCTGCATAGTTGTGGATATCCATACATATTCACAACAAATCAGGTCTTCAGAAGATAAAATTACTTAACTAAAACACTTGAAAATTGGATGCTTGGCTACAAATATTTTTTTGTTAAGGCCAAACAAGTTTTAACTAAACAGAACACAAACTAGACTTCGTCAGGGTCTTGAAATCTGGCAACATTCACATTTTTCACACAATGCAATAGGCAAATGGAAGTGGCCAAGCTACTTCACATTACCAGATTACTAGAAACTCTGCATGATAAAACAACTTATTTCTCCTCAGGTGTCTTCCTAGAGATGTCTGAGCAGTAATTTTCATGACACTTTAAAAAAAAAACATGTTAAGGCTTTTGAAAAATTACAGTTATAATTACTGTTACTTAAAGCAGCTAAGTAAAGATATCAACATTTAGATTATAAAATTATCCTGCATGGAAGATTTCCTCTGAAACATTTAAAGCATAGTAAGCCTATATGTCACTCAACTCAACATCCTGTGGCTTGGAAGTGTCAGGCAGAGTTGCAGTGCTACTAATTTCACCTCTGGTATCCTGCCAAGTACCTAGCACTGCTGGATAAGCTTTTAAATAAACAGGAATGTCTTCAGTTAATTCAATCACACTCACTAGTAAGACAACTATAATTTTACTGGATGTATTTCTAATAAATATGTAGAATTCATTGAAGTAAGAGATTCAAAAGAAAAAACAAACAGACAAAACCAACAAATCAAGCCAAACAAAAAATGGGTTAAATATAAACTCAGGAATGGATTTTTCTAAGCAAAGTGAGGTAAGAGAAAAAAAAGTACCAAGTTAGACAAACAGTAGGCAGAAGGTTTATAAATCCCACTACCATTTAACAGAGGATAAAGAACGCTTCTTGCTAGCAGTGATACTGATTTCTTTGGCCCATTGAACTCCCAGCATAGAATTGGATGTGTTCATTGCTCCTGAGCATTCCAGGCACAAGACAGCAGGCTGGAACTGATCTAGACCTGCTGAGCAGTAGGTGAGATCAAGTCATATGATGACTGTCATGTCATGGGGACCAATTTTGACTCTTGGTATATCCCAAGAACAGACAGGAAGAAAATGTCTTCCTCCCACACCCCATAAACCACTGGAAACCACACTAATAATTCCCATATATAGATATCCAGTTCCTTTTTCCTTTCACATTTCCTTCGTATGCAACACATCTATCATGAGGGAACTGCAAAAAATTTACCCGCAATGTAAAAAATATGTTGGTTCACAGAATGAATCAGAGAGTTCATTATACTTCTAAATTTTACTACTTAATCTGCTGAAGGGAGATTGTGCACGCTGCCTTCGGTGACTCTTGGATACCATTAATTGAACTTTATTTTTTTAAATCAGCTATCTACACAAACTCGAATTTATTTAATGTTTCATAGTTTCAATACTGATTAAATGTTTGAGTGTGGGCGATGTATTTTTATACTTCTCACAATACTTACGTGTCTTTCGAGCAGAATCTTCCACAAAGAGAGAAGAAATATCTTCATCCACCCCTGCTTCATTCTTTGCAATGCAAGTGTACGCTCCTGTATCTTCATAGCGCACATTGCTAATGTGAACCTCGCTACCATTTGCTGAAAGGAGAGGAAAAAATCAACATGCAGACATGCTAGTGCTTTCAGATTATAAATTCAGAAGGGTTTCTCTGCTTACACTAATTAAACCATTTTCATTCTGGAGTTCATAACTTGGAGGCATGCCAAATTAGTCCAAAGGTATTCAACTGGCTAGTGAATTACATGCACTATTTCATCTCACAGATATTCAGAGTGCCTCAGTTAATTCTGCACGTCAGAGCCAAATATCAGTATAAGGTTTTATACATATATTTAAATTACTATGATTTTTATTTTAATTCAGGCAAATATTAGGTTTTTATTATGTTGCATTTGGTCACTAGACACCATCATTTCCTTTAAACAAAATAACCCATGGAACATAACAGGCCAAACTTTCAAAGTAAATAAAAATTTTAATTTGTCACTCCTAACCAGAGGCGCCTAGTTAGTTTTGGTATTGTGTGACTGCAGTGTTACAACAGAGGAAACAGGTGCATTGAAATTTCTACATCAACGTAGATGCTTAAGGAAACCTCAGGAATTGTTCATCACACTGTGTAGGAATGTTAACAAACAGTCCAGTTTGTATGGGTAAATATGTTTTAAATAATGTGATATGAATAATGGTGTGAACAATGATTCACTGAATTTTAAGTATAGTATACTTAAAATTATACAAAAACCAGCTTTGCAGGTATTCTAAAGTATGGACTAAGAGGAGCATTGTCTTATGGTGTAGCATTTTTCTAGCTTGAAGCAAGTGCACAGATAGTTTAACTCAGAAAAATCTCTGGGAAAATGAAATGAGATTTTCAAAGTTTTATTTCAAATAATTCCATGCTAGAAATTTGAATTGAATGTATTTTGCCTAGAGAAGAACCCTTTTAATTTATTAGTCATAAATATATGGGACAGAGAGGAAAGTGAAAAAAAAATTCCTCAAATCCCTAGAGGAGAAATTAAGAGAATGTTGCTGTGGAAGAGAAGTTTATCATTTTCTACTCATAGTGGAAAGTGTTTCTGCAAGGAATTTTCACAAATATCCAGGAGAATTGTACATGAAGGAACAGAGGACTATGACACATTCAGGGGAAGTAACACTTCAGAGAAACACTTGTCATGTCTGTCCCACTGCTTCTGACAGTGCAGGCTGATTGCTGTCCTATCCTAACTACACATCCTCGTTTTTGCTGATGAGTGAGAGAAAGTTTTGAAGGGAACACTAGCAGCAGGAGATTTTTTTTCCTATGGCTGATCAAAAATTACCAGAAAGACTGAAGACACATGGAGATTTTATGCTGGACAGGTCTACTGATTTTGCTGAGCCCTGAAGATTCACAGAAATTAACTGGTGATTAAAGGTAAGACTCTCCTTTAGTTTTGGCTGGGTTTTTTTTGGTTTGGATTTTTTTGCAGGTTTTTAGGATTTTAGAGGTTAGGGGTTTTTTGAGGGGGGAGGTAGGGCTTGCATGTGTTTGTGCAATGTCTGCAGTCCCACAGAGCTCTGTTGATCCCCTTCAGAAAACAGCACATCCATTTCAGGTATTTCTCCTCCAGTCATTTCTACTATCAGGTCCCCAAATCTCATTAAGATTCTTATCAGTTCTGGCTGGGACCAGGTCTTGGACTGTTGGCTTCACTCAGATACTGCACATTTTCAAACAGAGAAGAGCACATTGGAATTTACTGGTAGTCCTGCCAGTAAGTACAATCATTATTCTAACAAAGAGAAAGCAGCTTTGAAAGATATGTGTCTTGGGGAGTACCTGGAATATTTCACATCTTTTGAAATGTTTTAGTTTAGACATCAAGCCTTTGTTAAAACTGTGGAAGAAGACCAGCTAGTATGGAAATGATGCACAGATAAACCATTAGCAGTGTGTAGAGAACAATAAATACACCCCTTTACCTTGAAGAGTTAGCTGTTTGGACAACTTTGGAGTGATATCAATTCCATTCTTCAGCCAGCCAAGTTGTGGGTTGGGAATACCTTCAGCGTGGCACCGAAGGCTAGCTGTCACACCTGGCTCCCTCGCCTGGCTCTCTGGATAGACTCGGATAACTGGTGGAACTGAATACACAAAACAATTATAATTTAGTGAAGAACATCATCTTCATTTTAAGAAAAATAACTATAAGCAATTCAGAATATGCCTGCAGATATATATAACAACACACAGATGTGGTATTCATCAGATATTCGGTGACATTCAATACAGAATCGTGTCTCAGAAAATTTATGGAGCAGAAAAAAAAAATCTGTGAGAAAAACGTCTTTTCACTGCCTGTGGTATCAAAGAAAAAAGCCTCAATTCTAGGTCAATAGTTTGTAGTTGACTAATAAGATTTTTATTTTTCCTTAGGTTTCTTTAGAAAATGACTAATGTACAATTAGTGAGTCATGATCGGTTGTACAGAGCTTGTAATTGTCCTGTTTCACAAACCTTGACATTTCATCTCCACCTTTTCCCTGTTTCCAAAACCCCTATCGACAATCTGTTCTACCTGCATAAAACCTGTTTGGGTTTATACTTCTTCATACCTTTTCAGACAGGACCTTCTGTACCCATGATACTACTTTACGCCTTTACCATAAGGACACATCACTAACTTATGTTCAACTTGATTTCCCTCTGAAGTCCTTTCCTGCCAAGGCACTTTCCACTAGGTGGTCTTCAGGATATGCTGGTGCACCAGGGTTGTTTCTCTCTGGGTGCAGGACTCTTGCACTTCTTGTTGAACTTCCTAAATTCCTGAAAAACTCCCTACAAATGGCAGCATGACCCTGTAGTCTATCAGCCACTCCTCCAAGTTTGGTGCCATCTACAGAACTGTTGAAGGTAGAACTCTGCCCCATTATTCAGACCATTAATTAAGATGTTACACAAGACATGCATCCCCCTGGACAAAATGTCCACACAGCTGGATAACCATGTTACATGAAGGGTGAACAACTGGCTCATGGGTCAGGAACAGAGTTACAGTGAATGGGGTAACATCTGGCTGGGATTCAGTCAGTAGTGGGGTTCCACAGGGCTCAATCCTCAGCCCAGCTCCCTTCAACATCTTCATTAAAGATTTGGAGGCAGCACTTGGAGGAATACTAAGTAACTTTTCTGACAACACCATAACTGGGAGAAGCTGTTGAGTCCCCCAAGGACAGAGAGGTCCTGCAGAGAGACCTCAACGAATCAGAGATACGGGCAATCACCAACTGTGTAAAGTTTAACAAGGGAAAATTCCAGATTCTACTCCTGGGATGGGGTGACTCTGGTTGCATGTATAAACTGGGGAATGAGGGGCTGGAGAGCAGCACTGCAGAAAGGGACCTGGGGGTCCTGGTCAATGGCAAGTTGAACATGAGTCATTGTGCCCTGGCAGTCAGGAGGGCAAAGCGTGTCCTGGGGGCATCAGGAACAGCATGGCCAGCTGGGCAAGGGAGGGGATTGTTCTGCTCTGCTCTGCTCTGGGGTGGCCTCACCTGGAGTTCTGGGGGCAGTTTGGGGCACCACAATATAAAAATAACATTGTGCTGTTAGACAGTGTCCAAAGCAGGGCCACAAGGATCATGAAGGGTTTTGAAGCGAAGCCATATGAGGGGTGGCTGAGGTCACATGGTCTATTCAGCCTGGAGGAGACTGAGGACAGACCTCATTGGAGTCTGCAGCTTCCTCATGAAGGGAAGAGGAGGGGCAAGCACTGATCTCTTTGTGGTAATGGGATCTGAGAAAGTGGCATGAAACTGTGTCAGGGAAGGTTTAAGCTGGATATCAGGAAAAAGATCTTCAACCAGAGGGTGTTTGGGCACTGGAACAGACTTCCAGGGAAGTGGTCACAGCACCAAGCCTGACAGAGTTCATTAAGTGTTTGGACAATGCTCTTGGGCACCTGGTGACTCTTGAGGCATCCTGTGTAGGGCCAAGTGTTGGACTTAATGATCCTGATGGGTTCCTTCCAACTCAGCAGATTCTGTGATCTATGTATAAGACTAGTCTTATGAGTTTCTTTATTAACAAAATCTGAGAATTGTTGACATCAATTTTCTAAGGTTTGAAAACTTGCTGCAGTATATTCTTAACAATTAAAAATCTTCTGCATACACCACTAGTGTCAGAAAGAGGGCATATGATCCTTTTTCTGACATGATAATATGACATCACAGTGGACATATTCCTATTAACAATCAGTGGTTAAGCAAGATTTAAAAACCTTACTATGTAGATTTTTTTTAGATGAATAACTATCTTATCTCTAATTTTTTATAGAGACAATTTGCTTGTAGTTGTTTCTAACAATATAAAATATTAACTGTAATAAGATCAAGGAAATGCATTTCCTATTCACCAAAGTTTTGTTTAATGTAGCTCTAAAAATGTGGAATACTTAGGTTGTGTCACAAAACACAGCTGGGTAGAGGATGAAGTATCAGTTAACAATGAAAGAAGATAACAAGATAAAAAATTAACTGTGCCTATTTTGGCATGAGATTAAATATTGTCAAATCCTATTCAACCATTTACAAGAGATGTCTCAGCATGCTGTCCCATTAGATCATAGAAATGCCTTACATTTCCACATTGTAAGAAATACACAAATCTATCTCAGATAGGATGCAAAAATCAGTAGGTTTCAGGGATATTTTAAACCTAGTTAGAGAGGACAGTCTTTTCAACATAACCCCAATATGCAAATTGCAAAAGTGCAATACAGTAACATGGGAGAAGGTTGAAAATTAGATAAAATGGCTTTTAGTCTCTTAGACTAGTAGCTGAGAGGAAGAGCACATAAAAATCAGAGATTTAAGGTTTCTATTGATTTTCTGGAGAGGACTTTGCTTTCATGGAAGTGGATCTTTATTTTTCATCTCAAGCCTGACATTCCCACTCCTATTTCCCCTCCATTTCTTCCCTCTTCTATCTCCTCTTGCATAGCAACTGTGTGCTCCACACTGAGATCTTGCCTTCCCCACTGTGTTCTGCAGACTGGGTCCTGCTTGACTGTACATTCAGTGGTCTGGACAATTTTTGGTGCCTCAGCTCCCAGTCTCGCTCTGCCTCACTTCCTCGAGTCCAATTTTCCTTCCTACCTGTTCACCACTTCTTGACACAAGGTCCTCTGGGTAGCCTACCTCATGTTTTAGATTTCCTACTGCAGCAAAGCCAAATGGTTTATTCTTCCACCTTGTCTCTGGAAAAGTAAGGACCTCCACTTCCTTAGAGACAGGATTACCATCACTGAATACTTTCAAGCATCTCAGCAACAGAAACAACTTTTAGGACCAATAGCAAGGCATTGCAATTAATTATGTTTCGACTATATATGCCAGGATATTTCTTGTCTCTTTTTGTGTCAGTGAAATAGTCTCATTACATATAAAACCTTATGGGTATTTAACTACCTCACCCTGGCAGATTTCTACTGAGCACAGGTGAAGAGAATTCTTTTTAACAGTCCAATTTCAAAGAAATTTCATTGAAGGGAAAGAGGAATGTATTAGTTTTACTTGGGAAAAAGGCATGCAATATTTGTGATGCATTATTATTGTTAAAAAGGTTTCAGAAAATGTTATAACTGAAATCAAATTCTTCCTAAACCAACAAATAAAATCCTACATGACAAAATGTTACAGCTGCTGAATTAACTACTTAAGATTTGTTAGGAGATGTGAAAGGGAGGAGAGGACCTGCTCATGTGAAAGTATGTCTGAGTTTTCTTTTACCACCCCTTTTCTCTATAGTAAATGCTGTTCCCTTCAGCACCGTTTTCCCAGGAACAAAGGTTTTTGCATGACAGTAGGGTTTATTTCTTGATGGATCTTTCCTGTGTTTACTGCCATTTTCCTCTTTCCTCAGCAACTTTGTGTCTGATAATGTTTTTCAACCCTTGTTTTGCATTATAATTTTTTTATTTCATATTACCCTGAAACATATTTGTAACATTCCGCTAAGGAAGAACTGTGCCATTGAGGCATGCTGCAGGCAACTGAAATATAAGTGCACTTGTAGGCTCAGCCTAAAAAGTTAATCTGATGTGACAAGTTCATTGTAAAGGCTTTGGGGTTCATTCGAATGAGGTATTTTGTTGGTTTGTTTGTTTTGTTGTTTTTATTTGTGGTTTTTTTTTGTGTAACTGAGCAACATAATAAATAGATATTATATAGATAGATAGATAGATAGATATAGATAGATAGATAGATAAATATCACCAGAAATGAAATTTTAAGTATACAATTACTGCAACTGTTCACACCGACTTTCAAAGAGATATGTTCTAGCATCTTAACCTAAAGAAGCTTACTTTGAAAGGGACAGATCATGACATAGGATAAAAAGGGAAGGGAGACACTGCATGTTTTTGTTTAGCAGAGTAATGTATAACACATAAGTGAGTGAATTCTATATCCCTTATCTTTCAATTCAAAAAGCAATGTTAGACTGTTGGTATAAAATATGGTGGATATGTAGCTATTCAATAGTTCTAACATTTGCTATAAAACCTCTTGAGTGTTATTTCATTTGGGTCTCATGGGGAAGGGGAAGGGAGAAAATAGTTTCTTCAAGTTGTCTTGAATCCAGGGAGAATGCATGAGCTTAAATCAGAAAGAGATGGTATCTACAGTGAACTAGATTCTTCTGATGATGCATATAATAACTCTTTTTTAAACTTAGATACTTTAGAAAAACAAAGCTGGCAAACAATTCTTCAGGCACTCTACATTCCCAGTTTACATCTAGCTGAGGGACTCAGCTCTCCTTTACCTTAAGATATCAAAACTGCTGATCTAAGTATCACTGATACTTAAATGAAGAAAAGAAGAAAAGAATGAGAAGAAAAATGAAGATCAAGCTGACAGACTCAAATTCATTTAGTCATATAGTCTCAGAGTCATATAATCTCAAAATTGTATGTATAAAAAGTTTTACTAATAATTAAGACTAATTTAGATTATGTCATGAAAGACTTATTCCTTCCTGATCACAACTTTTTATTTTGTTTTTTTGTATTTTATATGAAAAAGTTCCAAATATGAACTTACAGGGTTGTTTACAATATTTATTATACCATATTATTTGTATAAGAGTTGACTTATTTTTTCCCTATAAAACAAGTCCTTTACAGTGCTCATTAATGTATTTTTAAGACTCCAAAGGAAGCTCATTATTCTTTACTACTGTGCCAGATAACTCAAAACTAGAAAAAATTTTAGATTTTAATCGTATAAGTAAATCAGATTTATATATATAATAATTGCATACAAGCCTAAAATATACGATTTTTTTCCCTAAAATATATAGCTGTACATAAATGGAAACCAAGAAAGAACTTAAAATCTAATTACATTGTTTTCACTGAACCTTCACATTAAATCTTTGTGATCAACGTAGTCTCATTATCCCATTAACCTTTTGACTGACTCTCCAGTTAATACAAGTATCATTATATTAATTAGTCATTATCACAGCTACAAGTACTGACCATCATGCCTGTACTTAAGAAGATTATTCCTTAGAAGTACAGATCTAAACTGTAGAAGAGCTGTTCATTTGACCTTTAATCTCAGTGGATGTAACTCCATTTATCCAAAACATGCACAGAAAAGAATCCTATTGCTCGAAAGGCCTCCTTTTCATGTTTCTTGCTCCCCAAAATATCAACATCCAAAATCATTTAGGAAGGTACCACTCCAGTGTCAGCTTTTGGAATAGCAACTGTTGGAGGTTTACAATGGTTTCCAGATGAAAAATCAATTTCCTGAGAGACACTTTATCACCAGAAAAAACTACATTTGTCCTCCTTCACCTCTCTCAAATTATACTTCTTGATTTTCTAGTCTTGAAGAAAACCTTATTGAACTTGACTGGATTTTTGCCTCATTATGAGCTGAACTGAGCCAAACATGAAGAAATTTAGTATTTTAACTTGCTATGAACCTCTGGGGGATTATTTATATACTGAGATCAGTAAGGAATATGTTGATAAGAATATAATTTTGTTAATAATTTAGGGTGAACCAAACCTTATAAAACAGAGAAGAATGTTGGTCAAGAACCTACTAACGTGTTCAGCTTGCCAATAATTCTGCTATGTCTACAGGAATTAAAATATTAATAAACTGCACTTCAGCCTTCTCACTAGTTTAGCCAGCAGTTGCGACCTGTCTTTTTAAATGTCAAAAAACAATCCCAGAAGGAAAATTTGGAGAAAAGATGTTGATGCCATGTCCCCATTAGCTCAGGGACAACACTCTATGTACAATGTGTTGTGGTTCAGGAGGGGAAGAAGTTGGGGGGAAAAAAGTTGAAATATATGGATAGAGAAATATTACAAGCCAGCTTCCTGGAGAAACATAACAGCAGAGATAAAATGTTTATAAAACTGCAAACAAGCACTAAGTGTCAAAGTAATTTAAAATGTGATGTATTAGCAACAGAAAAGGGGGAAAAGGCTATTAGAAGAAGAACAAATCATATTAAAAGCCAAAATAATCTTGGAAACTGTATTTCATATGCATATACATGGAAGATAAGAATAAAAGAAAGTATTTCAGCATTCTTGGATGAGATGTTAAAGTCAGCCTAATAAGGGTTTATGCAAGCTAACAAAAGAAAGAATGATGGTATCAGCAGTGGCCAGGAAACTAGGGCCAGAGTATGCCTCAGGATAGTCAGAAATAGAGCCTCTTAATGCAAAGTAAATTTGGAGAAGATTGAGGTTAAACATGATTCTGGGTAGGATTAAACAACAACATGAAACAACAGACACTGGTACTTTACGGCGGAAAGGGAGTCTTAAGACTCAAAGATAAATATTAATTGAAATACCATGAAAGTACTCTAAGAAAAAAAAAAGACTTTAAACCTCAATGATGATGAAGCAAACCCTTCACCAGTGGAAAAGAACTCCTTAAAATAATTTAGGAAATAAATTGCATATAAGAAAAAGGAGAGGGTACACCAGCTCTAGAGAAGGTAAAGGCCTGTCTTTGGGGCATCAGTAACAAAGCAGTTTTGTTCAAATACAGAATTCAATGAAGTGTTACCTGGAACTTGAACAGATGTAGGATAATGTAAAGATCAAGTTTTCAAATCCAGGTGCTTCAAGTTAATCTACTAAATCATGGTTAGATTTCAGTATCATAAACGTGAATTTAAAAGCCTACATAAATTACAAAATCTTCAGGGAAATGCATTCTATTAATCTTATATTCAACAAAACACTCTTAACACTAGAAACTTACACATTTATTTTTCCCAGTGTGTTCTCCAGGTTATTAAATTAATACTAAAACCTACTTTATCTCTGTGTATATGTATATGTAAACCACTTACTGCTCTGCATAACATCACAGATGCAAAGCAAGTCCTCTGGATTATCTTTACACCTTTTAATAGCTATTATTCTGTGGAGGCAATAAATTTAAATTATTGTGTATCATTATTTTAAGGTTATTTGAAGGAGAGCAATGAAGAAAAATTCAAATACCTTTTTCTATTAAGATATAACACCATACAAAAAAAAAACCAACAAAATGAAACAACAGATCTGCTTCACAAAATTCAAATTTCTTATGACTTAATAATTAGAACATTTTTCCTTACCAGTCACTTGGAGAATATGAGTTTGATAGAGCTTATCATACCCATCAGCATAGCAGGTGTAATTTCCCATATGAGTTGTGGTAACTTTAGTGATGTACAAGGACCCATCGTCTCCAAAATCCTACCAGGAAAGATTAAAAACAAGGTTATCATAATGAAGCACACATCTCTACAGTAATTATGCTCATCATCTCAGTAACAAAGCTGTGATGCAAATATCAGACATCAGATGTCACAAATATTAAACCAGAATATCTGACAGTAATCTGAAATTCAAATATTATACTTGTGAATGGCAGAGTTGTTTAATCTTGTAACATATACTGTGACTGTAAAAGAAGATAAAATTTTTATTTTAACAACTAGTTAAACTTGGCTGAAGCAATACGTTTATTTATCTATGACAGTTATTTGCAGAAGAAAAGCTATTGAGGATTGCATCCGACCAGAGAGAAATGCAAAAATTAACAAGTTAAATGACATCCTGTGGAAGTGTTGCCATCCTTTGTAAGGAGCAAACGTGGAAAAAAAAATCTTCCTTTTTACTCAGTTTTTCTCATTAGATTCAGTGATTCATTACAGAAGCACTACTGCTGTAAACTGATTTCAGGGATCTGAGATTCCTGCAAGTGTTTGTGATCAAGACTGAGGCAAAGAAGGCTTTCAGTAAATCATAGTTTGTCTTTTATTTCTTTTGGTACTGGGTCCCATACCAGCTCAGCAAAATATCCTTATTTCCCCTGTCTTTCTTTTGCTGCTGATACAGTCCTGGAACTCTGTAGACCTTCATATCTGTGACCAGATCCAGTTCTGGGATGGCTTCATCTTTCCTTGTCTGCACATTCAAATAAAGTCTCCAGGTTCTTCCTGAGTCACCTGTCATTTCTTACACCTTTTTCTTTTTTATTTGAATTTGGTCAAGAGCTCCTTGTTCTTTAATACAGACTGCTGGCTGCTTTTGATTGACTGTTCATTGTGAAAGCCTTTTCTTGAGCACAGAGGAGGTCATCCTTCAAAATAATCGTCTCTCTTAGCCCCCTTTTGTTTTCAGCATGATCTACAGAATTCTTCCAAGCACATCCTTGAACTGAAGTCTCCTCTTCTGAAGTCCATGGTTGCACTGCTTTTTGCCCTGATGTCTCCTCTTGGGCTCCTTGACTCTGCCATCTCATGGTCACCGTAACCAAAGTTGTCCTAACCTTTATATCCCCAACCAGTTCTTCCTCATTTGTTTCTTCACAAACTTTGTAACTTCTCTACGAAGTCCTCAAATCCATGAAGACCTTATCAAAAGCTTGCAAAACCAAAAAAACTTCAGCTAAAATACCTCGGTCACAAGGTCTGTAAATTGCACAGTAAAATAACTTTGATAGAAAATATAACTATGTGCTGCCTTATTCTTACATCCTGTTGTTTGGATCTCAAAAAAGACAAGATACTGGGTTCCATTAACTTCTGGTTCATTATGAATATTCTTACATTCTTTCATGACCTCATCTAGAACTTTCCCAACTTCTTGGGGTTTTTTTCAGTTCTCACTTTCCAGCTTTTGTTCTTACTCAGAGAACGAAATCTCAATGATTTTATGCACATATTTCATTCATGATGACTTTCACTGTAACATTTGAGTATTTTTGTAGACTGAAATTTAAATATGAAAACTGAAATCTCTATGAAATTCCTTTTAATTTCTCAGTAATCTTTCTTTAAATTTACTCAAAATATTTTTCAAAAAACCATGTCTCGCTGCATTTCTTCATCAAAAGATGTGTGGGCAACAAAATTTCGCACTGCACAAGTCTATGCTTCCAGTGATTCTGCTAGTTGTTCCTTGGGAGAAGAAAACAACTCATCTAAAAATTAACCTACGTGGTAATACTATCAATAACTTGACTTTCTCAAGATAATTATAGGTTTCTATATTAGCACTTTGGTTACACAGAAAATATTTCTACCCAATCTTCAATTTACCATTACATGTTACCACTGCAAAAATAAAAAAAGGGACCCTCTTTAAGACTTAATTTTTAACTTTGATGATGTGAACCAACAGCACTGGACCTCCCTTCGTAATAACCCATCTTACTAACTTCTAAAAACTCCCTTATTAGATGTTTTGATCTTTATCTCTTTCTAAAATGTATGAAGCAGCAGATCAATTTACTTTTTCCTCCTTACTAGCTGAACACACATTTTCAAAGTGTTCCTCTTCAACAGCATTATTATTATTGGAAGATGAAAGAACAGCTACTCAAAAGAGCCACACTATAGGTACTTACCTTTTGTCTGGAAAATGGATATTGTTATTGCCATCTAGAATTTTTTGCCTAATCTCTGTCAAAGGTATTTGTGAACAATATAGGGCATAGGATGGAGTGTATAAAAATTCAGCTTCTACAATGTAGCCTGGAGAGTAGTTTACTTTAACATTCCTTATGTTAAATTATTAGATATTTATTTGAAGTATACCTACCTCTTTCAGCTCTTTAATTGATTCACTGTGGCATATGATATCTTTAGGTAGCATAGCTATTTTCTAAATAAATGGGTGCTCGGGTTAAGGCTTCTCCCTTTTTCATAGAAACCATAGATGAAACACTCCTGTGGTTATTTTACATAAGTATTTAAATAGAATTCACACATGATGACACTCAGAGAGAATTATATGGATAGTATGTTTTGTTGGTAGTGGTGAGTTTTGTCTGGTTGTTTGGTTTGGGATTTTTTACAACTACAAAATAAATGTCCCTAGCTTATTATTATACTGAGTTCAATGTTTGTTTTGTTAATTAAAGCAAACTACTCAATTTAAAGTGAACTTAATGCTGTAAGCAGCATTTGAAAAGGAATGGTGAAGCACAAACAGAACTTCTTGACACTGCATGTTGACAAGTATTTAGTGTTTTATTGACTAACTCACAAGCTAAGTAATTAAAAAAAAAACACGAAAAAACTCTATCCATACTGATGCACAAACATCTTTGAAACAGAGCCTTTAAACATCAACAGCAACAGAAAAGTGTTTTTTTTTAATGTTTTGGAAAATATATTTGATAACAGTAAAAAAACTGCTACAAGCTCAATTTTTGTTCTCCTACTCTTCAAACAGAAATGGCAAGGTACTTCCAAAATTACATTGAGAAACTAATTATTTTTGTCATAAATGAAAAGATAGAATTGAACAATTATCTTAACAACGATTCCACTGCAATTCTGTTCTCCTGAAGAACATGACATTTTACAAATCGTGATATATGTCATGAATAATGAGGAAAATAATATGGAAAAGCACTTTAATTTGATAGTAAATCCTTGCTTTTCTCTCTTACTGTTTATAAAACAGAAACTAAAGGTGATTTTTTTGTTTTGAATCAGCAGTTATTTATTTGGGGTTTATGACCTGTTTTCATATGCTAGTGCTTTGCATATGAGAGCATTTATGACCATTTTCTTTACCTCTTCATTAACAGCTCTAGGAAGAGTGCTCCTAGATCTCTCCCCACAGAAGATCATATAATGAAACAGAGTGCTTGAATTTGTTCATCATCATAGAAGCTAGAAGTGGTTTTAGTTTGGTTTGTGGCATTTTGGTTTACTTTTATTTTTTTTCCCCAGCATTTTTTTGCCCATATATTGCTTTCCTAAGTAAATATTTGGGTTTTTTTGCTTTGTATAAATAATTAAAAAAAAAAAATGTACATAGCCTATGTGAACCAATGATGTGAATTCTTACTTACATTATCCTCAAACACAAATAATGCTTATTTTGTCCTTAATAAATGGAATTAGTGAACACCAAATATTATGAAATTATAGCTTTTCATATTGCCTTTATTTCTATTTGCAGTCTTTAACAAATCCACAACAAAGGAAAAATTATACTGTTTGAACTCTTTTTTATTGATGGTTATCAGATTTCTAATAGTTCAATTATAATGATAACAAACTGAGTGAGGGAATTTCTCTTCTTTTTAAAGGAAAAATTTGATTTTTTAATGGGGAAGGGCAAAAAAAAACCCCACATCATCTGTCTCTGAGCTGATCAGGTAAAAAATCTGAAGCTAAGAATTACAATTTTGTGTTGGTTTGCTAGGGGAAGGCTGTATCAATAATTGCAATGAAACATAGATATTTTCAGAACTAGAGTTGTTTGCTTGTAAAACACAACCAGTATATGTATTACCCTTTATTTCCTGTACATCCCTCCAAGCTTTCTGCATTTTATCTCAGTCAACTCATGGAAGTAACAGTAATAGTAATGCCATGTTCTTGCTTATATTTTGTGTTTTTCAGTATCTCTAACTTCCTTTATTACAAGGACACAGACTGTAGATAACCTTTTGAGGGTTAATTGAAAAAAAATACTTATAAATAATTATTTTTGCACAGTTCTGCCAAATAAACTCAGCTCAGGCTTTTCAAGCTAATGTCAATGTTACCAGTCCTATTCTTCAAGTGATCAGTTTCTCTGGTCACATTGGCAACGCAATGCAGCTCTGAACCTTGCTACTGACTATCACAAAGCAATTGTAGTCCACAAAGAAACTTGAAAAAAAATTTCATTTGGCAGAAATCCAAGATTTTTGTTAAATTTTCATTCTGGATTAAGACCTGCATTTCATAAGCATAAATTTTGCACACCTTCTCTCAGTCTCAAATTTTACAGCTGCAAAAAGAACAAATCATGGATCTAGTGTAAGTCCACTGGTTGAAGAATCAGCCTGACAGAAAATTGCAAATCATGCCAAAGCTTAAAGAAGGGAACTACACCGTCTAACACAAGCACTAGTACAGTATATGCAGTAGAAAGTGACAAAATCTTAAAAGAAACTCTGTTCTCAAGAACACCAGACACCAATTCGTGACTATTAATGCAGGCTAGTTTTAGTCAAAGGAAGGTAATCTTCCTAAGCTTCTTTTACAGTCATTTGAGAAAGCTCAGGGAAGCAAAATCCTTTTATGGGATCATTTAGTGGATCTGTCACTGCTCACTGTTTTTAGCTACCCCCCACCTCTCTCTGCTGACCATGAAAACAAACTTCCTAGCTACCATTAGACATTCCAAGCATTTAATTGGTTCCTCTTTTCTTGGCACTGGGGAGAACAGAAAGGGAAAAGCAA